GTGTGTGTGTGTGTGTGTGTGTGTGTGTGTGTGTGTGTGTATGTGTGTGTGTGAGTGTGTGTGTGTGTGTGTGTGTGTGTGTGTGTGTGCGAGTCAGACACAAACACACACGGGCAGATGGCCTGTTGAGCGCGAGGCTGCCCACATATGGAGATGCACACTATTGTTCAGAGACGCTGCTGACGCTTGAACATACACACACACACACTCACAGACACACTCACTCACACACACACACTCACACTCACACACACACACGCAGACACACACTCACACACAGACACACACTCACACACGCACAGACACACACACACGCACACACACACACTCACACACGCACAGACACACACTCTCTCACACACACACACACAGACACACTCATACACACACATACACACACCCACACACAGAGACACACACACAGCGCTTAATTCATGATACAGCGCTTAATTCATGATCTTAATTCAGATACTCTCAAGTCTAAATTACTCAAATTAGCATGTTTCTCTTTGCCACAGACACTGTATTCTTTTAATCAGTTAGTGTAGTTTCACTGATAAAGCGTTTGCTGCTGCTGTAATTAGCAGAATGAAAGTTTCCTCTCGCTGTAATGGCTCTCATCTGGCCGCTTTATCAAGAGCTCAGGATCTGTTAATGAGCTCCGTCTCTACAGGAGACACGAAAACTGAACTGCAGAGAGACACCTGCACAACAAACCCAATTAATGACCACAAACACTGCTTCATAACAGACCAATGCATGAAAAATCATTACAAAAATTAAAATACATAAAAATTAAACTGCACTTTCTAATCAAAATAAATATCATTGACATTGTGTTATTATGAATTTATGCCTTTGAGGAAAGCCACAAAACAAACATTATAATATTCCTAATTAACTTCCTTCATGATTTATTGTTGTTAATAAATTTGTAGGCGGTTTACTGCTGGTGAGAACCTTGGCGCATTAATTGAAAATTAAAAGATCATATTTGCCTCATCCAATCAGCCGTAATTATGTTTTATAATACAGCATGTGATCTAGTTTACTACACTGTAAAAAATACTTTTTGAAGTTGTAAATAAAACATCATTCGAGTCCATTTTATAAGAAAACACTGTTCCAGTCTTTATTATGGAAGCTTGTTGCTGCAAAGAAATAAAAAATATAAAGGTAATTGTGACTTTTTATATCACAATTCTGACTTTTTTTCTTTTACAATTTGGAGTTTATATCTCGCAATTGTAACATTTTTCGGACAATTCGGATTTTATATCACAATTATGACTTTTTTCAGAATTGTGAGTTATATACTCAGAAGTCAGAATTCAGAGTTTATAACTTGCAAAAAATGCGAGATATAAACATACAAATTCAGAAATGTAAGGAAAAAGTCTGAATTGTGAGATATAAACTCAGAAAAAAAGTTGCTGTTACTTCTTAAATGTTTTTTATTCTGTGGCGGAAATCTACATTTCATGTTTAATTCAGTGTCTTACTTGCCATTTCTTTCTAATTATTATTTTTAATTTACTAGCAATTTATAAGTGCAAATCATTTCAAAGTAAATCCTATACCATTTTTTGTCCTTTTCCCCCCCCCCAGTGTAAGCAGGTCTGAATATCTTCCTCGTGCCTGATCATGTGACTCTGTAGTGATAGCATGCGATCTAGAAGTCATATAAATAAACATGACTCTCTTGTATTTGCTGATCTAACTTGAGAGCATCCTCTTCCTCTGCAGTTGTGGGTGTGAACAATATCAACTGGCAGACGAATGCCATGTTTCGGCCTTTCGTGGAGGTCAATGCCATTGGCCCGCACCTGGCTGACAAGAAACGCAAGTTTAGCACCAAAACCAAGAATAACAACTGGTCTCCAAAATTCAACGAAACATTCCAGTAGTGAGTATTCATTTCATATACGGAACCTGTCTATAGTTTATATTAATAACAGTTGTTGTGTACTTGAAGATATAAAAAGTACCACGTTTATGGAGATGGAACCATGCAATGCCATGTTTTTTTGGGATATGTACTAAAATATGGTGCGAAAAGCACTGTCCATGTTCAGTAACACTTGATTTTAAATTTTTGAAAGACTCTTCTGCTCACCAAGGCTGCATTTATTTAATCAAAAAATACAGTAAAATACAGTAAAAATTTAAAATATTATTATAATTTCAAATAACTGTTTTCTCTATGAATATATGTTCAACTGTAATTTATTTCTGTGATCAAAGCTGAATTTTCAGCATTATTACTCCAGTCTTCAGTGTCACATGATCCTTCAGAAATCATTCTAATATGCTGCTTTGCTGCTCAAGAAACATTTCTGATTATTATCAATGTTGAAAACAGTCCTGCTGCCCAATATTTTTGCAGAAACCATCATGAATAAAAAAGAAAAGAACTTAATTTATTTTAAACGAAATTCTGGCTGACAAGTAACGTTGTAACATTATAAATGTCTTTACTGTCACTTTCGATTAATTTAATGCATCCTCGCTGTGTAAAAGTACATTTGAATGGTAACGTATGTCAAGGTGTCACAGTATCATCACTGATACATCACAGAATTGATTTATATGAGTTGGATGTGAATCCCACAGGATTATATATTACTGAAAATTACTAGTAAATAGATAAAGAGTGGTGATTATATAACATGATCACTATTATTCCCTCTGTAACCCCATTTCTCTCAGTCATCGTGCTCTCATTTCAAAAGTTTTACAGAAAGAAATGAATCATACGTTTGAAAGATCAATGTAAAACTCAGTAGCCTAATAAAATATATTTTATTTTAAATATTGAGCTCATGGAGCAGCCGAAGTTTTCTCACTTTATCTCCTATTATTAGATCCTTTTGCTCGTGCAACAAATGAATCATGTCTTACTGTAAATAGAGCATTCGACATCAGCGACCTGGCTTTTCACAGCGGCGTTGACTGATCGCCTTTAAGCTGCACAAATGCACTTGAACAAGAGCACAGAAACCAAGCGTCCACGTGAAGATTTACTCCTGACAGTCTCATTTTAGGCTTGTGAAGGAAAAGATAATTGAGAAAGGCTTTCCAGAACAGTTGACTACACAAAAAAACCAGCATTTGGTGTTTCATTGGCGTTCAAAACCAGCGAGTAAAATGTGATGGAAAACTCAATGCCACACTGAATTAACCTCTCTCTTAGAGCGCACGTAAAATAGCATGAACTCAAAGCCCACCTTTGGATATTAAGGGCCTTATAGCTTAATGGAGTCTTGAGCCGTTTTTGCGTGGAATCATAAAAGAGCACCTGTACTCCATCAATGCAATTTCTGTGTCGGATAAACATTAAGCTGACTGGGTTACAGAAACGCTGCTTTACAAACACATCTGATATAAAGACATGCCTGTGGACAAACATCTTTGTGTATGTTGTGCTGGCTGATATGACAGTCGTCTCAGACTTTCTGAATGCAGAAAGCGTGAATGCAGCATCATGCAAAGATTATGCTCTGTTCACCGCCAGCCATGCAGTTGAATGTGAACTAGCAAAAGTGGTCAATAATAGGGCAGTTGGCACGATAAAATGCGTAATATTCAGTCAGCTTTACGTACAATAAAATACAGTAGCTTTTGAGGCTGATTTGACTGGAGTCGTCTTCATCTCTTGTAAAACATAAATGTACCACTCATGTGTTAAAACGCTTGGACATCTATGAGGAGAGACATTCTGGAGGGTCGCAATGTAAAGCTCACATTTATGTTAATTCCTATGTACAAATATGTGCATTATTTGAACTTTTAAATGTATAAATCATACTTTTAGTGACTGTGGCCTTTTGGTCTCTTTCTTCTAAAACCTTTCTGGTGTCATTATGCATATTATGCAAAAGCTATTGAGTTTAACAACTTAAAACATGGTGATGACAGTAGTTGAAATGTTGGATTAATATATGGGTAAAACTTTACAATAAGTTCTCATATATTAACATTAGTTAATGCATTAACTAGCATGAACTAACAATGAGCAATATATTTTGTTTCTTAACCTTTCTTAATGTTAGCTAAAAAACACTAACAAGTTACAATAAGGTTTCATTTGTTAACTACTGTTAGTTAACTACATTTGTTAACATGAACTAATAATGAATAATACTTACCTGGAATTTAATCATCTTAATGTTCATTTACTAAAAAAATTTTAAGTTCAAAAGTGTGTGTGTGTGTGTATATATATATTAGTTAATGCACTGTGAACTAAATATTACAAACAATGAACAATTGTATTATTACTAACATTAACAAAGATTAATACATGTTGATAATATATTTTTACATGACTAATACATGATTAATACACCTTTTACAGTGGGAGGTAAACGCTTAACGTAAAACTTTGCGCATTGCATTCATATTCTGGGCTCTTCTGCAGAGTTTGATCTTGTAATATCACTGTCTTAATGCATAAGCCATGTTAAAGGGGTAGTTCACCCAAAAATGGATATTACCCCATGATTTACCTCAAGCCTCTTCTTTCAGATGAAAACAATCGGAGTTATATTAATATTAATAAACTCTTCCAAGTTTTATATTGGCAGTGAATGGGGGTCGAGATTTTGAAGCCCAAAAAAGTGCATCCATCCATCATAAAAAGTACTCCACATGGCTCCGGGGTTAATAAAGCCTTCCGCAGCGATGCGTTTGTGTAAGAAAAATATCCATATTTAAAACTTTATAAACCGTAATAACTGTCGTAAGCGCGTCCCAGCGGATGACGTCGGCATAGGGTACATTTTAATGTTTACTTGGGCTTAATATCTTGCTCCATACGGTGCATTGTGTGCAGTTTTGTTTGTTTTTACAAACCAAAGGATTAGTTGAATTGTAATGAGTGTTAAACCTGGAACGTTAATCAAAAAGTCAAATTTAATGAAAATTAACATAAATGTTGTTGTGCCTTCTCCATCCAGCGTGCTGAGTAATGAACACGGCCCAGAGGCCTACGAGCTTCACATCTCCGTGAAGGACTACTGCTTCGCCCGAGAGGACCGAATCATCGGCATGACAGTCCTGCAGCTCAGAGAACTGGCCGAGAAGGGCAGCTTGAACGCCTGCTATCCGCTCGCCAGGAGCGTAACCATGGACGAAACCGGCCTGACCATCTTGAGAATACTCTCGCAAAGGACCAACGACGAAGTGGCCAAAGAGTTCGTACGTCTCAAATCAGACACGCGGTCGGCCGAGGAAGTGTCGTAGAGAAGCACGGTTGTGTTTGTTTTCGTGCATGTGTGTAAAACATCTGTTGGAATGTTCATTTTAAACTACAAGTACGTACAAAAGTGTTTACCTACCGTATGCTCTCTATCAAATATTATATTCTACGAAGTTATGTTCAAGAGACAGTTTTGTATGACGATTAGTCTTTTTGAACAGATACCGTATTTGTTCAGATAAAGTGCCAAACCTGATGCGTTTAAAAAAATACAAACAAAAAAAAACACAATAGACTAAATACAAATGCATATGAATTATTGGTGAAGTTGGTATCTTTCTAAATTTGCTTGATTATTTTGTCCGGTGTGTATCATCCCTTTTTAAGTGTGTAGCGGTTTTGTTTGTCTTCATTCTTGCACCGTTTTTGTTCGTTTCGTTTTTCACGTTTTTAACACACGGCACTGGTGGTGCATGTCTCGTTTTCTTGGTGACGTCTCTCTCCCATGTGTTCGCAGTGACTGTGGGCATCAGCTCGGACCCGCTCCCCTCCAACGTTTTGTATTCGAGTCCACTTTAAAAAGAGACCATTTTTTAAAATGGCGATGACTGCTACGAATCTCTTCGTGAGATAAGTGTTTGTAATTTTATAGTCGTTGACAACAATGAAAACCACCTCGAGTGCTGCCAGTCCAGGCAGGAGGGGTGGGATACTCTTTTCGTTTGTTTTTCGTAGGTTTAGTGGCTTTACGTTTCCTTTTTTACCATAGGCTTTCAGCCTTTCTGAATTATCACTGTGAACATGGGCTGTGAAAGGCAAGCTTACATCACATTTGTTGACTGTTTGATATCATCTTTTTATTTTTTCAAACAACTTTGATTCTAAAAAAAAAAAAAATGAAATGAAAATGTTCTTACAAAAGCAATCCATGATCTGTATGGAAATCAGTATATACTATGTACACGTGCTGCATACTGTACATTATGTTTCTAGTATTGCTGAATCAGTTCTGATCGTCGATGGGCCGGTTTTGACTTTATTTCAGGATGATTTCTGTGGAGTTGTTTTATCTGGTATGAGCGTGGTAAATGTTGCTTTACAGAAGAGTCACATCGATCGCCGTCATCTCATTTATTTTTGTTTACAGAGGAAAAAGTTTAACATTTGGTATTTATGCAACATTTCTATGTATTGCACTGATGGCAAATTGTATGTCATGTAAATATATTTAGTGAGAAATTGTAATGAAGGTCTCGTTTGCATTTTTAAGGAAAGCAACTTTTATAAACTCTCTATCAGCATTGAATGACGGTTTATCACTAAACTTTCAGGCCACACAGAGGAAGTCAAAGGGTTAATTTCACAAATGCATGGCCAGGTCATCCCAAACTTAAAATACGAAATTGCATTGACATTATTTTCATGACGATTAAACAAATTGACTGCCCTCCAAATTCTACATTTTTATAAACAATACAGGCAAACTACACATACATGCATTATATTATACTGTGTATATCTCAGAGTTACTTTGCCTTTATTGATGGTTTAAATGGTTAAACCATGGTTCAAGGAGATACATAGATACAGATCACTTACGAAAATTAACCAAGGTTTTACTACAAATAAAACCGAAAAACCATAGTTAAACCATGGTAACCACAAATTAACCATGGTTTTGCTGTAGTAACCATAGTTTAACCATGGTATTTGTAGTAAAACTGTGGTTATTGAAATTGTAATTAATACACCAAAAAAAAGACATAGCTACTACACTTTTACTATAATTAAACCATGGTTAAATTTCATGAGGGATATGCAACTCGATGACAGTATTTGCTGTTGGCTTCGAAACAGCGACGGGTCTCCTCACAGTATGTGGTAACAGGCTCTGGATGTGACTGGCACACATAAGATGACAGCACATTTTGAGACGGGAGCGTTTCGCAGTTCTTAAGAAGTCTTTGAAATGCTGCTGGTTCACGGATCCAGAATGGTGCTCTGAGAGACAGGTCACATGACGTCTTTGTGCCGTTTTGCACGCTAGCAGAGAGCAGGAGAGAAATACGTCACACAACAGATGGTAAGACCACAGATACATACACAGATTCTGCATTGACGACTACTAGCAAGTTATTGACAATCGACGCCATATTGGAAAGGTCAAACTGACAGATGTGGCGCACTACAGACAGCGGCTGTTCCAAACATTTGGTGCGTCACTAACATCAGACAATTCGGCTTAATGCAGATTGGATACCATTAAAGAGAAAATTGGTAAAATGTTCTTGTACTACATGACATTATCAGGGTGCAACATAATTGTTTTGCTGTTCTGATTGGCAGTCATACTATAGCTTCCATAATTTAATCAAGAATGCCAATTGTGCTGGACCACAAAACCAGTCATAAGGGTCAATTTTTTTAAATAAGCTTTCCATTGATGTAGGGTTTGTTAGGATCGGACAATATTTGGCCAAAAAGATACAACTATTTGAAAATCTGGAATCTGAGGGTGCGATGGGGAGAAAGGTATTTTAATAATGTAAATTATGTGAAAAATAATGTGTTTTTCGAACCACCAAGCATGAGAGCATGTTCTAGTACACCCCCAAAACAAAATCAAGACCCCTTTAATTCAATCATTGAGCCAGACAAATACTGCTCTGATTGTCAATTAAACAAACAATAAACTTTTTTATCTTTTAAAAGATATTTAAGTCCAAAGTACTGCTAATATTTACCATATTGATTTTTACAGTTGTTTTACACGTATTCTGAATTACACGTTACATTGTGTTGTGTCTTAGGGTTAAAGGAAATGTCTGTAAATTTAATGGAAAATGTACTGGTCATTTTAATTTTAATTTAATTTTAATGCTCCTCATGTCTTTGACCATAAAAACTGACATCTTAAAAACCGTAATCACCAAACCAGCACTCGGCCAATATTTCAGTTCCCGTGGGTCTATAGTGAAGCTCTGACCCGGTCATCAATCTCTCAGCGGCGGCTCAAAGGGAATGAGAAGATTTAGAGTAATGTGGAAAGTGTTTGCTGTATCTCTTACAAATGCAGCTGAATACCGACTCACTCTGTGTTTGTTTTTGCTGACCCGCGGTTTTCCCCTTTGCCCTCGACTGCATTTCTCAACCACAGCAGATCAGATTTGACAAGATTTTGTGTAATTTATAATCTTCACGAAGCTCATCCTGCCCATTCAGCCGTGTTTTATTAAATGTTAAGTATTTTTTCTAACACATCCACTTCATTCAGTCTCAATGGCGAAGAAAAATTGTTTCCCTTTTGCTAAGATCTCAATATGAACTCAAACATGTTTCATCAAATTCTTAAAAGATTTTTAAGACAAGAAGCATCTGAAGTTGTTACTACAATAAAAGCGGAGTCCTGAGCTGTGTAAAAAAATAAAAAAATAAATATTCAACCTTTATATACCAAAATATATTTCAAAACTTATTTCAGGGGCAAGAAAATACATTTTAAATCTTACAGTAGCCTACAATTAGACTTCATTCATTACTTATTTTTATTTAAATACATTCACACACGTTACATACAAGAAAAAAAATGAAAATTTGACATGTGAATGTATTTTCTGGATTTAAATATATGGAAGGCAAAATATATTTTGGAATGCTTTTAAAAATTACATTAATATTTTTAAAATATATTTTCAAAAATATGCAAAAAATGACCAAGACAATATAGTGGTAGAACATATTTTTCTATAAATATATTTTGTAACATACTGTAGCAAATATATATTTTTTTGCCATTTAAAAATATATTTGAAAATCGATTTTTTTTTTTGCCAAATGGGGAGGGAAGAATCTCTCAGGAAAAAGTTTCTCTGCACACTTAAAATAAAGGTTCTTTATTGCAGTCTATGGTTCCATTGCACAATTATGAAATGTTCTTTAAAGGTCTTTTCACTGAAAAGTTCTTAAAGGAACCAAAATGGTGGTTATTGCAACGAAAGAAAAGAAAATTTGGAACCTTTATATTTTTTAACTTTTAAAAGTGGGGGATGAACAAGACATTTAGAGCCCAAATCACCAAAACCAAATAAATATATTACACTTGAAATTCCTCAACCAGCTACTTCGGAGGATTCACATCGTTGTATGTTCATATGGCAGTCAATTCTGAAAACTCTTCACAACATACACAGACGAAACCAACACTCCTTTCTGTCAGAAACAGCACATGCTGTGATTCATGAATCTGCTCAGAGCCAAGGACACATACGAGGTGGAGATTAATTTTGCATATGCCCTTCAACTGTCTGCTTACGGCATATTGTACCAAGATGATCGACAAAGTAGTCCGTGTGACATCAGTGATTCAACTGCAAAGTTACGAAGCTACGAGAATATTTTTTTGCGCAAAGAAAACAAAAATAACGACCTTATTCCACATTTTTGTCTCTACTGCGTCAAATGTGGATGTGGGTTCACGACAGTACCATGATGCAAGCATGTGGCTGACCCAGATCTGGCATAATGACGATGAACACATGCGCTGTGCCTTGTGTTCTTGTAGTATTCTCGTAGCTTCGTAACATTACGGTTGTATCACTGATGTCACATGGACTACTTTGTCGATCATCATGGTATTTTTCTGTGCCTTGAAAAAATATCTTAATTAGTGTTCCGAAGATGAACGAAGGTCTTACGGGTTTGGAACAACACAAGGTTGAGTAATTAATGACAGCATTTTCATTTTTGGGTGAACTATCCCTTTAACTTCAAACTGTCGCTTCTGGCCAAAATCCATAGTCCATAATAACGCTTCCTCCAGTGATAAAATCCATCTCCTGTTTTCTCTCATCAAAATCCAGGCTTGTAAACGGTGCTTGATCTGACCACTTTTTCACTGGAGGAAGCGTTATTATTATTGCTGTCAATCGATTAAAAAAATTTACTAATTAATCACTTTTTTTTTATTTTTATTATTAATCACGATTAATCCCACCTAACATTACAGTTTTTAAATATAAAAGATTATTTTTTCTGGTACTTTTTGGCATCTAGTGGCATCAAAAAAGTAAATTGCAGAGAGTTGTGCCTAATAGAACCATAGGCGAAAATACCAAAAAACGCCCCGAGCTTAAGTGGTTTTAAATTGTGTTCCGAAGAGGAAAGAAGGTCTTACGGGTTTGGAACAACAAAAGGGTCAGTAATTAATGACAGAATTTTAATTTTATCCCACCTAACATTACAGTTTTTAAATATACTTTTATATTGCAATAATTTCACATTCAATCTAATTATTGTAGGAACAACATAAAGACAGTATATTTTTAATATTTGCTTAATGGCATATTTTTTATGACTGAAGGCCAGTATCACTGATACCAATTAATAC